GGGGGGGGGGGCAGGGAGTATGTTCACAGTCTCAGCGGCTTCATCTCTAGTATCTACTTGGAACCGCCTTATCTTTTGCCTGGGTTATTGTACTTTAATGGGCCTCCCAGCTTCTACCTTTCTCTACTTCAGTGTGTTCTTTACAACATAGCCTGAGTGACCCTTGTAAAACTCAACTTATTATGCCACTTCCAGGATCAAAACACTTAAATGACTTTCTATCAGATTCAGAATGAGAGAGAAAGTGATGACTGTCCTACGAGGGTCTCATGACCTGGACACGGGCTCCTTCTCCAAACCTTCCTCCAGGATCTAGGATCCCTAAACCTGGGGTTCACACAGTTGGGGTGTGGGAATCTCTTAAGTAAAAGATGATCCTGAAACTGCAGCTGGATTAGCTGCAGAGCAGACCTGCCTCTGCCTGGCTCGTTCCTTGCAGCTGCCGGCCTCTGGCCATTCCTTGAAGGGACAGCACTGTCCTCACTGGAGACCTTAGCGTGTATTCCCTGTGCCTCTAACTTTCTCCCCTAAGATTCCTCATGGCAGATTCCTTCCTTCCATCCAACTGACAGGGGGAGTCTCTGATTATAGCAGAAGGATGTCAGTCTCCATTCCCTCCTAGCCTACCTTTCTCCGAGCGCTTACCATTGCTCCATATGCACCGATGTAGAATTGGTGGGATCTATCGCTTCACCAGCTAGAGGGGATGCCTGATGGAGGCAGGAACTTTCGTTTGTTCGTGTCTCTGTTCCCGTGGCTAGTCCAGTGGCTGAGACACAGCAGACGCTCACTGCTGAAGGAGCACCCCTGCAGGAGCCAGTGACCTAGAGCCATTCCCTTCTCCCATGGGGCAAGTGTGACAAGTTCTACTAAACGGGCCAGATTCTGTTAAAGAAGGTGACTTTTAAAAACTGGATGGTGATAGGCTTTTAAAATGACCCTAGCAAAAGTTTTCAGCGAGGTTAACTTCCATCTGAATCGTGATCAGGAGCCTCGCTCTTCCATGTACCTACATCAGGCGCGCGTGACCGCACACACACACGGGGTGAACATCTCTAGCTACAAAAGACAAATATTTACACGTACTTGGCCACAAATGTTTTTGAAACACTGTGGGAAATGGATGCGGGTTAGAGAGCAAAGACCATGTGTACCCACTCCACAAGAGAACCTGGGGTTTCCCGAGGCTGAGAAGTTAGGATAGGAAGTTGGCCTCTGCATTGTTTATACTTCTGATAAACATCTAGCTTTCTGGAATGTGTCATTTTCATTAATTTATGAAATGCACACCCTACCCAATAATACAGCTTAGAGCAAGGAGTGGACAAGAGTGCCCACCTGCAGTGAGGATGCTGATGTGAGATCTAGAAGCAGAACTCTGCTGTCAGCTAGGGGCCGGCCCTGGCTTTCTGTAAGAAGCCTGCCTCTAAGGTGGTGTCCCTGCTCTAACTCCATTAATACTGAAATTTCTCCCATCTGTCTGCACTATTAGGTCAAATTTATTTTAGTCTCACATCAAAAATTTAGAAGACAGCCCTGGCCTGTGTGGCTCAGGTGGTTGGGCTTCATCCTGTGCAACTAAAGGTCGTCAGTTCCATTCCTGGTCAGGGCACCTGCCCAGGTTGCAGGCTCCATCCCCGTTAGGGGGCGTGCAAGAGGCAGCCAATTGGCCTTTGCTTCTTGCACCAATGTTTCTCTCTCTCCCTCCCTCCCCTTCCTCTCTTTCCAAAAATCAATTTAAAAAACAGTTTACAAGACAGCTTGTATTTTTTCCCATTGATTTTTTTTTTTTTTTTTTTAGAGAGAGTGGAAAGGAGGAGAGAGAGAAACATCGATGTGAAACAGACACATCAATTGGTTGCCAATAAGTTCTGTTCTTTTTACTGTGGATATACCATACTAGACACTGTCTATTAGCAGCATAAACGTTATATATGCTCTTCACCCACTGGAATAAAAATTGAGATGATACTTTTCTTTGATAATCATGGAGTCTTTCCATAGTATTAAGAAGCTGCGGTCACTAAGCATTCATGCATATCACACATCAAAAAGAAACAAAAGAAGCCAATGTGTTCCCAGTATAATTTCCAGTCCCCTCATGCAATTTATCTGTGAGTAACTAATACTCGATGAAAATCAGTGATGACATTTCTTCTGAGAAATCTCAAGATACCTTTTTTGAATACAATATTCATGAAAATAAAAGAGGAAAGCATAAGAACTGATTATGGGAGCAGCCAATTTAAATGCAAACACTGCTTATTTTCAGTATCAGTTTCTTGTTTCTTTTCCCAAAGGGGAGTGGACCACCTAAGAGAATTGTGATTAGCATGGATTTGCAGATGTTGGGGTTGATCTTTGGCCTGTGTTTTTGCCGCCTCCTCCCTGCACTTTCTTACCCTACGCCCATTCCAAACCCTCTCGCTTAGCTTCTGCCAGACTGACATTCCTAAGATACCAGTGCAGCGTAGCAGACATAGCTTTGGAGCCAGAAAGACATGGCTTGGAATCCTGGCTCCAGCACTTACTCTATCTGCAGCTTTAAATAAATCATCTCACATGTCTGAACCTCAGACTCCTTCATGTGTAAAATGAAGATAATATGTAAAACGAAGTTCATTTTACTACACAGCTTTCAAACTCGCAGATATGTATGTAAATTATCCTGCATGTAGGAAACATCACTCTGTTGGCAGGATAGTGATGATGATGATGGTGGTGGTGATGGTGATGATGGTGTTGATGGTGATGATGGTGATGATGGTGTTGATGGTGATGATGGTGATGATAGTGATGATGATGGTGTTAATTGTGATGATTGTGATAATGGTGATGGTGATGGTGATGATGGTGATGATGGTGATGATGATGGTGATGATGGTGATGATGAAGGAAGAGGAGGAGGAGGAAGAGGGACAGGAGAAAAGGGAAACAAAGACTCTATGTCTTCAAAATTCCTCTGTGAATTTTAGATGCCCCACAACTTAGTCCACTCTATCTATTGGGCACGAGGTCTGCTACTCACAAAGCTGTATGTTTCCTGCTCCAATGGGGCAGATGGCCCACCCCTGCCCTGCTTCATATTAATTCACTCCTCAAACCCTTTGCTCCAACTACTTCTACCAAGCAAAAGAGTCTTTGTGCTATTCAGCAACTATCCAGGTTCCACCGATTCCTCATGACTCAGCGCAGAAACTGGACTTTCCCTTCAAGGCTTCTCTAAAATCTTCCTACGGAGGGAACTTGGGAAGGTGTTGGCACTACGGGAGAACTCAACTGACCTTGTAATACCAGCATAAGAGACAGGGGCTTCTTCAACCAGAAGTGGCCTGAGATCGTTTTCAATTTTAAGGAGTTATTATTGTTACATTTGCAGCTCTAATAATTAGACGAAACCATCATAAATATCAAGGCTGCACCCACCATGAGGCACCAAGAGGCTCTGTTCCAGTGATCAAGCAAAGACTGAACCCAGTGAAAACAAAGGTAGAATGGAAAAGGGAGACCATTATATGATCTGCTATTTCACGAGAAAACTATATTTTAAGGTTTTGAAAAAGAAAATAATTCACATAAAGCATTTTATAAATATCATTCTAATAGATGCATCGATTTTTAAATCAAATTTCAAAATCACAAAACATATACATATTGTATCACTAGCTTTTCAATATTTCTTTCTAATCAAATTCTTAGGTAAAAATATAGATAAAAGTCAGAATTCAAAAACATTTCATGTATACGTGAGGATATTTGACGATACAATGATTAATAGCAAAACATTCAATCAAAGTCAAAAAAATCCCCCATCCCACAAAAATATTAGCAACAGTGTATTCCCATGATTTTAGAAAACAGAAAAACTGGTGTTGACATAAATGAGATTATCAAGAAACACCATGTGTATCTCAGTGCCATATGCTACTTGCACATGTTTCTAGTTATATTTTTAAATATATATTCCTTATATTTCTATGTAATAGACTTACCGAGTCAACATTCATTTCATAATTTATTTTTGCAGGAAACACGAACACTTCCCAGTGGCTCTGTAATTACTTTCTCTATAGTTAAGCGCACACTTCCTTTTTTATCATGTACAGGATTTCATTCTTTTCTGCTATGTCCCTATTTCCTCCACACCCCCCCAGGCAACTTACATAAAGAAATCAGAATCGGTGCTAAGTCTGAAGTGTACTTTTCTGCTAACAATGACTGGCGCTCAGCAGGAGGACCAGCAAAATGAAAATTACTCCAAATGCATGGAGCACAAAACAAGAAGGCTTACATAACAATTTTACTTTTATTTTTTTTACTCTCAGAATATAGGTTACGTCAAACACAGCAACTCGCCCCCCCTGGGAACTGCAAAACAAGGTTTTGCATCAACATGTCCTAGTCCTGTCTGAACCTAGAGCGGAAACCCTTCCCTGAGTTTTGTTTGGTACACAGTTATTTTTTACAGACAGGAAACGTATGACAAGCTGTCAGGATAAATAACACCGACAGTGGGAAAGCGGGAGAGGGAGGCAAGAAGTCAAGTCCGTCTTAAGAAGAAACTCCTCTCTTCCCAGACCTGCAGTGGTTTTGTTCTGCATCTTACAAGCCACTGGCCTCCCCTTTGCTCTGAGAACAACACACGCTCTGCCCGGCAGGAAAATATAAGAATTGAACAGAAAACCACAAGGTTACTAAGCATCTTACCCTCTGGGCTCTCGGGGCTGCGTCAGCGGCTCAGCGTTACAGACACGTGTAAACAACAGAGTTTCCTGCATCGCTTTCTCATCTGTGTGGCTCCGGGGGCCTGGCCAACAGGATTATTTCCAGCCTCGAGGCCACTCCGCACTGACTGGAAGAAGATTCCCATTGGCTGTAAGGTTGTATCAGAAGCAAAGCCCCAGCGCCCTGTGCGACCGGCGGTGCCCGAGGGAGGCACTTGGGGTGCCCTAAGGCTGCTCAGCCCCGCCTGGCCTACACCCTGCGGACCTGCACCCGAGCGCCAAGGGGGACAGCCCGGCCCCTCGCCGCAAGTCAGCTCAGCGTTTAATAGCAATAGTCATAGCTTGTAAAGCAATAGAAAGAATAAAATAAAATGACAAAAGAAGGTGTCTCTGTGCCAAGATTCCAGAAACAAAAGGGAATGTCATTGGCCCGATCTGACTTTTATTAGATTCCCCCTGCAAAAAAAGAAAACAAACATGTAATAGAATATTTGAGAATACAAATCATGATGTAGAAACTGTCTGTCAAAAGCTTTGGTTTCGGTCGTGCTGGCAGGACGGTCAGCGGCAGTCTCCGGGCCCTGGCAAGAGCTCCCTGGCCCCTTCCCCCGGGGAAAGAAGGCCGAGTGGCTTCAGGTGAGGTGACAGCTGTCAGGGAGCGTCCCGAGGGAGGGATGGGGAGCAGCAGAAAAGAAAGCTCCTCGGGGTGACACCGACAGCACAGGACGCCCAAAGACAAGGCGGGGGCGAGGAAACAGGCACTGAGTTCCCTGTAAGCCAGGCGCGTGCAAGCGGCAGGCCCGGCAGGGGGCTAACACCCCCCGTAGGGGCCTTCCCTGCCGCCCTATGTGGGGGCTGTTCTCAGGGCCGCCCTGCTCTCTGCTCAACACCGTCCTCCCTCCCTCCTTCGGTCCTGTAGAGAGGGGACTAGCCCACCCGCGGAGGGCTCCTCTCCCCCCACCGCCCCGTCTTCTCAGGGAACAGGCTTAACCACCTTCGCTCCCCTCTCCCCGAGTCCCCCTTTCGTCGGGATCCCCCGTGATATTCTAAACGCACGAGTTCCTGGGTACCTTGCACTTATGCCAATGAATTGCACTTTCCACTCAGTCATTTCCCTTGTGCCACTCTCCTCTCCTCCGAGGCCAAATGACTGAAGAGGTCTCTGCGGCCAAGAGCCCCACTTAATCTGCCCCCTGCTCCCCTTAACGCGCCAACGCGACTCTGGAAACGCACGCATGCTTCGTGTTTTTCTAAGTTTATGGGCTCCTCTCTCAGTCCTCACTCCACTTGTTCTCTGCTCAGCCTCTGACGCCGCTCACAACCCCGCTGACGTGAAGCCTCCCTCTCCTCCCTCAGCACACGCTTTTCTGGCCTTCCTCTTGGTCACTCAGGTCTCTGCCCCCTCGCCTTGGGGCGGTCTCTTCTCCCTCCAATCCCTCCGTGACATTGGCTATGGTCTCCTGTAAGTCTGTTATCTCTCTGGAAAATGTCACCCGTTCTCATGGTTTCAATTATCATCTGTCTCTTCAGAGGACTCCCCTTATCTGCGTTTGGATCCAGTCCTCTTCTGAGTCTCCAACACTTACTCGCACCAGCACGCTAGAAAATACCACACGCATGTCATCAACATATTTGAGGCTGAAATCACCAGCTCCCCGTGGACTCGCTGTGCTGTTTATCTCAGTGATGCCAACCGGTCTCATGGTTTACTGAAGAAAAAACCTGGAAGCCATCCTTGACTCCTTGTCCTGTCTCCATCCAATCCAGCATCGCTTCCTTTGGATTTTATTTTAATAACAGACCCAGTTCTCTCCCTCCCAACTGCCACTGTCCTGGTTCAGGCGACCATCGTAATCTAGATCCCCGCAGTGTCCTCCTAAATTATCCACTTGTCCCCACACTAGCTTCTCCGCATCGTTAGCAAGGGTGGGAGCAGTCTATCTCCAGTCCTCCTGCTTCTTGAAATCTCCGAAGGTTTTTAACCCTCAGATCAAATCTCTTTTACACAACGATTTTTCCAGAAAGCAACTCTTCTGGATTATTTTCTCTGTCTTGTTGGCCATGCCATGTCCTTTTCCTTCCTCTCCTTTCAAGGTATAATGCCTCCGAAGGGCTCTCGCCAGTCCCAGCCTCTGTCGGGGTGATCACATCTGTTCTTGTGCCTGCTTTGGTCATACGTATTGTTGGGGGTTGAACTGCGTCATCCAAAAGTATTTGTGGTCTTAGCCCCTGGTACCTGTGGGTGTGACCTTCTTTGGAGATAAGGTCTTTGCAGATGTAGTCAAGTTAAAATGAAGTGATACTGGATTAGGGTGGGCCTTAACCCAATGACTGGGGTCCTTACAAGAAGAAAGATTTAGACACAGACTCATGGGGAGGACACCATGAGAAGGCAGACGCACGCGGAGGCCGGGGCGGTGCAGCTCCACCCCGAGGCCTGCGGGCAACCACCAGAGCCCAGGGAGCGGCCAGGAAGG